TGCTGTCAGACCCCCAATTACCACCCCCGGGGCAGCCCATCACGTTTTAAGCCCGAGCAGATCGTGACTCCCCGCCTACGGTCTCAGGATCAGTCCCGACTCAAATGGCACAATGAGTCTCATCACAGCTGCCTATCAGACCACGCCTGCCATGCGTGCCATTCACACCATCAGTCACCAGCAGCAGCCATCCGCCTGCACTCCCCCACCCCCGCCAGCGGCAAGTCCCTAGAGGCGGACATGCTCTGCTTACTAACAGCCACACGGCTCGTGAGCCTGTCACTGCCCCAGCCGGTCCCTGACCCTCCTTCGCTGGCAGTCACTCAAGCAGCGATTTCTCTGGCTATCCTTGCACTGGCACCTGCTCTGAATCTCCCTGGGGAAGTCATCTCACTCCCCACTCAGGAAGCCCCAGACACGTCATGCCCTCGGGCAGGCTGCCATTAGGTCAGGCCTGGCTGGCATTGTCAGCATCTCATGTAACCCTGTCAGGCAGTCACACTATCCACCATCAGTTGTCAAATGACTGTCATTCCCCCCTCATTCCGACCATGATCAGGTAGTTTATTCTCTCAGAGCAAATAGTCACAGAAACTAAAGGTAGCATTAAGCCTCCAAGCCACCTGTCAGTGGGTCAGCAGTCTGTCCTTTTTCAGGGAGGCATGCCTCCCATTGGACAGTCACCCATTAGGGCAACTGTGATTCTTTGTTGTTTTTTGTTTGTTTGTTCATCCTTACCCAAGGATATTTTTCCATTGATCTTTTAGAGAGAGTGGAAGAGAGAAGGAAAGACAGAAACATTGATGTCAGAGAAACACATCGATTCGTTGCCTCCTGCACACACCCTGACCAAGGCCTGGGCTGGGAAGGAGCCTGCAACCAAGGTACACCAAGGTACATGCGATTGACCAGAATCGAACCCAGGACCCTTTGGTCCTCAGGCCAACACTCTATCCACTGAGCCAAACTGTCTAGGGCTGGGCAACTGTGATTCTAACCTCATACAGTCATCAACTCAGGCAGCTACACTGCTCTTTCTTGGTCAGCTGGCTTGTGACCCATTCTGTCTGCCCTTCATCATATTGTAGATCAGCCAGGTAGCCATGCTCAGCATCCAACTGAGTACATGATCTGTCAAACATGCTGTAATTTGGTCAGGGCAGACAATCAGTCACCAGAGACAGCTGCCTATCAGAGGGCCACAGATCTGTTCATCAGCCAGCCTGAAGTCTCCCCAGCGTAGCCCTCCTTTACACATCACCAGGCAGAGTAACATCCAGAAACTGCTACTCCCTCTGGCCAGGTGTGATTCCTAGCAATGGTCATCTTCCACCCACCACATCCATGGGTCAGGAGTCATCCAGCATGTCAGTCTCTCTGGAGGCTTCCAGTCTTCTACACTGTCAGAACACCAGCCCCAGTCAGTCCCAGGTGGGCTGTAATTGTTAGCTATTCAGTACTGCACAGCATCAGAAAACCTTATGTCAGTTCCTGAAATTGCCCCTCTCTTTGTCGGTCCATGAGTTATGTAGTCAACCAGTTATATGGTTATACAGTTATAAGGTTACTAGAGGCCCAGTGCACGGATTCATGCACCAGTGGGGTCCCTCGGCCTGGCCTGCGGGGATCAGGCTGAAATTGGCTCTCCAACATCCCCCAAGGGGTCCTAGATTGCATGATCGACCGGGGAGGGACCACAGGAGGTTGGCCAGCCAGAGAGGGACCTCAGGAGGGCTCCAGGGTGTATCCGGCCCATCTCACCCAGTCCCCATCAGCCGGACCCCAGCAGCAAGCTAACCTACCGGTCAGAGCGTCTGCTCCTGGTGGTCAGTGCATGTCATAGCGACTGGTCAAATGATTGAACAAACGGTTGGACACTTAGCATATTAAGTGTTTATTATATAGGATTCTGTCTGTCAGTCCAGCTGTGAGCTGTTTGGAGAAATGACAGGTTCCATCAGCCCCTGCTTGCCATAAGTGGAATAGTCAACAGCATAAGTCCCACCATACATTCCCCTTCCTTCCCTAATTCCATCTAGAACAGAGACTGATGTTAGTCCTCACAGGCTCCCCGTCTCCTGGGGCAGGCAGTTCCCTCCCACTCCCTGAAGTCCAAGAGACCTGTCCAACCCATGAGAGTGGTTTAAAGTATGATCTTTTTTTTTTTTTTTACTTAAAACTTTAAAAATATGTTAAAGGAATTTTAAAAGGAAAAAACTCCCTAGACACAATGTTTCCCTGTTCCTTTCCAGTTTTTTCTATAGATACATTCCCAAAACAAGTATTCTGGAGGGCAAGTCCTGGAGGAGGAAGAGGAGGGGTGGCCCAGTGGGCTCCCAGTTGGAAATTTGTTACATGTTGTGACCCCCATTGTATAGATAAGAAAACTGAGACTCAGAGGTGTGGCATCTTGCCTGGGTTCTACAGCAGATCTCTCTGATGGCCTCTTCCATTGCCATTGGCGAGGACTTGTTTTACACTGGGTACTGGGCAGAACCAAATTTTAATACTAAGAGGGGTATTCTCTATTTTCCACTCTAAATATAACACAAGCTATATGTGATTTTGTAATAGCCATTGGTAATCAATGAGATTTTACTATAGCTGTCTTAGATCTCTGGAGCCTTGATGTCCTTTGTCTAGGTAATTCTTCCGGGTTGCTAGTGACCATACAGTTTGTGATCACATGATCATCTCTATTCCTGTTATATAGGACTGACTGAAATTACAACTGGATTGAGCAAAAAAAGGATTAAGATGATTAAGACTCAAACTTTGGAGGAACTAAGGCAGTGGAAGGACTCAGAACATGTGAAACTCCTTAAATAAAAATTTATTAACTTAAAATAATTGTGCCTGTTACAAATAATAAAAACCCTATTGCAGAAAAAAAAGAGGGGATTCTGCCCATTAGGATCCTATGTGAGTTGTGTGCTTGGAGAGTGGGGAAGTCTGACCATTGAGAACTCTCTTGATCTAGTATTGTGTTGATTGAACAGTTTTTAAAAAATAAGTGAATGAATAAAGAACTCTCCCACTCGTTTACCACACCCAGCCCCATGCCAAGCTCTTCCCCACTTTGGGGGCTTTGCACTAGCTGTTCCTTCTGCCTGGAATGCCCTTCCCCCAAATATTCACCTGGTTGACTCCTTTGCCTTTAGGTTCAGCATAACTGTCACCTCCTCCAAGTGGCTTTCCCTGAACACCATGTCTGAATGTTATTTCCCCTCAGCACACAGCACTTATCATGGTCTGTAACTATCTTTTGTTTCTATTTTATTCCTTCTTTCTTGTCTGTCTCCTCCTCTAGAATGTCAGCCCCACTAGGGCAAGAATTTTTGTCGATTTTTCCCACTGCTTTATCCCAGACTCTAAAGTAGTGCCTGACAATAAATATCTGTGGGAAGAAAAAAGGGCAGAAGGAAACAAAGAAACACAGGTTAAATGACTGAGGAAACAAGTGAAGGAATGTATGTGTAAAGCTAAATAAATGAAATAGGATAGATGAGTGGGGGAGCGGGGGGCAGGGTGGAGGGGGTCAATGGGAAAAAAGGGGACATATGTGGCCTGGCTAGAGTGGCTCAGCGGTTGAGCGTTGACCTATGAACCAGGAGATCACAATTTGATTCTGTGGGACATGCAGGAGTCAGCTGATCAACACAACCTGGGCATGTGCCCTTGACCGGAATCAAACCTGGGAACCCTTCAGGCTGCAGGCCAACGCTCTATCCACTGAGCCAAACCAGCTAGGGCAAAAAATATTTTTTAAAGGGGGAGATATATGTAATACTTTCAATAATAAAAATAAATTAAAAAGTAAGTTTAAAAAATAGGATAGATGAATAAAAGGTACTTTGGGAGAAAAGAACCCAAAATTCCCACATTTGGAATATAAACAAACTGAGATTTAGAGAAACAAAAAGACAGTTATTTTATTTTTATTTTAAAATCCTTGACTGAGAGCTGAGAAATTTTGTATAAAAAGGGGCTATTGCTAAGGCGACTGGGAGTCAGTCAGAGATTACAGCATTGGAGGGGTTGGTAGAGAAGAAATGGGCCTTGGGGCCCTGGAAGCAGAGAGAAGGCTGTAAGCAACAGCTGCCAGGGGATCAGGTGCAGAACAGGTGGGGATGGTGGTGACCTAGTCATCCCATTCGTCGTCCTCGTCGTCATCACCGGCCTGGTCCTCCCCTTCGTCTGGAGGGGAACAGAAAGAGTGGAACTCAGATGGGCAGGAGGGTTCACAAGCCCTGGAGAGGGGGGTTCCTAGGGATTAAGAACTCAGGACTCAGGGTCCTGGGGGGCTGAAGTCTCCTGTGAGGAAGTTAGGTCTGGGGCTAAGCATGAGGCCCCCTCAGAGGAGAGAGAATTAGGGTTTCTGTTTGGGACAAGATATAGTTGGGGTCTGGGTT